TCAAGCCTTGCAACTGCTACAGATGGGAAGGGAGGGCTCTTTTAGTGCCCCCCATCTTCTAGCCTGAACCACTGCAGGCATATGCCTGCATTTCCTGAATCAAACATGAATGTCTGTTCACTTGCAAATTGGTTCAATCTATGCAGGTTAGGCTAACCTGCAAAGATTGAATCAATTCAGGCTTGAGCTTTTTGGAGTCTGATACTTCATACCAGGTAAATGTTATGTCTTGTAGTATTCTACCATAGTGCATATGTTATGGATTCTTTTTATTATTATTTTATTTTATGTTTATATTACACTGACCTGTAATATATTGGTTGCTGTGAGGTTTGCCCAACAGGACAGATCTAAGATAGAAATTAGCATTTCTGATTTTCTAGTTCAAAGTTTATGTAGAGTACAAAAATACTGAAAAAAGTTCATCTAAGGAAAAAATCTCTATACATAACCTTGTTAATACTTCTTTGATGGTTCTAGGATGGAATATTAAATGCATGTTTAAAAGAAGGATCCTTAAGGAAAATAGTGGTTCTGCTAGACTTTCTTAGTGCACTGCATTCATTTTAAACAGGAAATCATTTTGATTTCAATGCCATATTAGCATGCCTTTTGCTTTACGATATCAGTACTGGACTATTAAAACTCACTGCAGGTTGATGTTGCTTTTTGATATGGCACCATTCAAACATATATTATATTTGAAGATGTGCAGGATTACTGAGAACTTCAATCAACATTTTTGGCCTTTGTAAAGGATCTTAGCCAGGCATTTTGTTCAGTTACACTCTATCTGATGCCACAACATACGTGGTAGTACTGCTTTCGGAAAGTGCGAAACTGATATATTGTGCCATCTATGGCAGCATTTGTTCAGCATTTGCTACAAACAGGAGAAAAAAGATACCGAATGCATGGATTGATTTTCAAATTACCTCAATATTTTGAAAACATTTTCACCTGCATGCTGAGAATGCTAAGAATGGGAAGGAAGGCAATTGTGCACTTGCACAGCCTCCACTGCATTCATTTATAAATTACCTCATCACTGACTGAAATTAACACTGATTCTTACAGGCAATTTCTCAATTTCCAATGCTAATTACATTTTTTTTACTTTTAAATTCTGTACCACCTGTTTTGGGCAAGACATCTTAGGCAGCGCGACCGCATTTAATCACAATTTTAATTAACCGCCCTGTAGATGTGAAAAAGAAGCAATTATAATGTAGATGAATGATGATTTTTCTGCATTAAATTGTTTTGTTTCCCTGGTATGTTGATTGTAACACAGCACACAAATACAGTAACTGTACAATTTTTTTCTATTGTAATTTAGTAATTGTTTTTGGAAAACCAGTTTGGGAATGAGTGACTTCATCTGTTTACAAATTGATTGATACTGTTAACTCACTGATTGCTGCAGCATACATTTTGTATTGCACAGCCTAGCATAAAATATAATTAGGCATGCATAGACTTTGCAGCACCATTTTGGAAACTGAAAATCAACTGTAACTGAAGTATGTTTTTCTTGAGTGTACTAGTATCAGTTGGGGCTGATAATCAAAAAGCAGCGGGCTATTCCGATCCCACTGCTGTTAGAAACCCTTGGATTTAATCTGATAGTCTAATGTAATAAGTTTGCAGTAAGTTTTTTGAATTGTGCTGTAACAGACCTGAAAGTAGGGGCTGGGAAGCATGAAGCTTGCACAACTCACTAAGATCAATATCACAAGGATCATACAAGTGATGTAAAGAAACAAGGATGGAAAAAAAGACCTGGAGCTTATGAAGGGAAGGAATTGTTACGGGCACTTTGGCACAGTGCACTAGTGTGCTGTTGCACTGGCTATCTCCAGCTACGCATTACAGTAGGATAAGATCTCATTCAGACTCATGGCTTGCAGATATGAATCTTTCAAGTTATATATATCAATGCATAGAAATTCAAAGATCTTATTTGTATGAGGCTGAGTCTGTTTTCTTTCTCAGGGAGGGACATAACATTGGACTCAGAGAGAAGCAGATGTGCAGTGCTGGCAACACTGGTGTATTTGGAACTGCAGACTGAACAACTACTGTGCTCTGGATAGTCCTGGACTACAATCCTGCAGGGGATTTCCTAACCCGTGGAGAGAGTCCCTTGAGTAAAGTTGAGTTCCTATATAAGACACATTCCCTTCCTCTAGAAGTGGTGAAATTTTAGGGTTCCAGGACTGCAAGTTATCATAGTTATAACTACTGAGGAAACTGGCAGAGGGCTAAAAATGAATGCAACCCTGATTTCTAGCTCTATGACATCAGTTGTCTCCTCTCCAGCTTCCTTCTTTTGCAGTCCTCTGACTGTGAAGCCCTTAGCCATGAGAATGTGTAAAGTCACATTGTGAAAAGTCACATTAGCCTGGGTCATGTTCCATCCCAGTCAAGTTTATGATGTCACTAACAGCAAAGAAGAAATACAAACAGAGGGAAAAAGATCAAGATCTGGGGCCCGATCCTGCTGTCTTTGAAGCCAGGGAGAATTTTGCTATTAATGTCAATTACAGCAATGTCAAGCCTATGGCTAGGACATTGTGAGGAGCCCTAGTTCTTCTCCTTTCTCCTGTCTGTTTCATAAATATTTGCTAATAAAGTATTAATAGAGATCATAAAATCTACACCAAGGTTCATTTTGATTGTTTAGTAAGAATCCATCTCATTCATACTTAAAAGGGCCTATTATCTCACTGTGCAAGAGATTTACATGCGTAACTCCCATTAACTCTTATGGGACATAGGCATGTAAATCTCTTGTGCATCTAGAGAAGAATAGACCACATAAGGTCTTGTGATCTATACTGCTAGTAGGTTTCAGTCCCTTTCATTTATAAAACTATCCAAAAATTAACCATTAAAGCTTATTCTGTGCAAGCTGTCCCCTACATATATCATCCCGCTTGCTGTTGGAAGTACTCGATGTAAATGCACACTGTGGAAAGGTACCATAGAAAGCAAGCCCATTCATTTTAGTTAGTAAAACTGTCATAGTTGAAAGGAAGCAGACTAAGGGCAGGTAGAAAAATTGTACAGGTTTTACCCAGCAGATTCAATTTCAGATTTAGGCTCTAGACTGAGCTGTTTGGAGAAGGAATACTTTCATTTTGTGGAGCATTCCCTTCCCCTCCTCCTCCACCCTCCACTTACAGCCCTCAAGTAAAGCACTGGGTATTATAAAGGAAGAGGGCAAAATATCCCTGAACAGCTGGAATGATAGAAGCTTTACACAATCAAACTAAGATGCTCTGCCTAAGGAAGATGAAATCTTTTATTTCATAAACTTGTTTGAGCTGAAATGTTCATGGGGAAGCCTGTAAAAGTGGGAACATCTGTGTTCCTGCTGGGATTTGATGGCTCACCACAAACCTTTCCATAAGCATTTTGTCTTTGATATGAAACAAAGAGGAAAATACCTGATCCCCAGCCTCAGTCAGTCGCAGCTCCCTGTATCTTCACACCCTGACCTACTGAACATTCCTTCCAGCAAAGAGCTGCTTCCCATGGCTACCTCCTCAGTGTAAGCTAGCTAACTAATCTCTTAGCAAACACTTGCAGCAAACCTGAAGAGAGTTTGAAAAGAAGAAGAAGAGGGGGAAAAAAACTTTTTTTGAGATAAAGCCTAAGGCATTTCCAATAGGAAGGAATCAGAATCTATATTTAGGTCTACATACTCTAGTTTTCTCTTGATAAACCAATGAGATGTAAAGTTATGGCCATCTAATGAACCTTTTTTATCTTAATCCTGTTTCCTCCTCCTTTCCATTAACCTGCCATAAACTCACTTGCTTTATTACTGCCTACCAATAAGCACGTGACTGTGCTTACAGGTATTTGCAAAGTGCTCCCTTTATCACAACAACACTGTAGGGATGATATGTCATTTGAAAAGTCCATCCAGTGTGCCCTGTCTGCACATAGGGGTAACCTTTCCTTAGGAGCTTATAAGAAAATCCACTGTTGAAATAAATAACAACTCTCAACAAATGATCAAAGAAAAAATAAATCTTTTACCCTTATAAGACTTTTTAAAACTGAAATCCCATTTTTAACTGGATAACAGTTAAGAGGCTAGCAGCCACCTATTTATCTGGGAACTGTGTTTTAAATGTTTGCTGCATGGAAATTGGACAGACAAATGGATCTGCAGTTCTTGGGAGTGAGAGCTTTTAAAATAAAGTTTGTATGTAATATATGAAAACATATTGTTTGGAATTTAAGTTCTAATATCTAGGAATAAACAGAGCATTAAATCAAGCAAAACTGTGACAAGGCCAATATGCACATGGATGATGCCAGCGAGGCATCTCCAACCCTTTGTTCACAGCTTAACAAAACTGTGCCGTCACACCACTTTAGCTCAACAGTGCCTGTCGAATGGGCATCAGCAGATCAGCCAATGCCTGTCACACACACAGCTGAAAAACTGTTTGAAAGCAAGGCTTACTTTAGCACAAGTCTGGTAGGAAAAGTGTGAGGGATTTTTAATCATCTAATAAAGACCAAAAAATGTTTTTTTAAATGTAGGCAAAAATATTTACAGCCCTCTTCCCAGGAGAAGTAGCACAGTTCTCTTCTTTTTTACCTTGGAAAAGCAACCAAGAGTGGCTCTAATACCCTTGAATATTCTTTGATAGTTTACTTCCTTTACTGCAACTGGGGGGGAAGGGTCATAAACAGGATCTAAAGCTGTTTTTAATATGTAATATGCTGTCATGGTTTTTTCCCTTCTCATTTTTAAAAAATATTCTATTTAAAAAAAATCATTTTCATGTCAGCCTGATCTGAGGCCTCGCCTGTGACAGAGGGTAAATGAAATAACATATTCAAGGAAATGTTTGTTTTTATTGTAATGCAATTATCTTTGGAGATGAACATCTCTCTCTCCCTCTCTGTCTTTTTTAGCTGATCAAAATATGTTTTCGTTGGTATTAACAACCTTCTCAGTCAATTTTCTTAACATTTGTGGTGCATAAACATGACACTACTCCAGAAAGAACTGCAGCAAAATGCGCTTATTAATTCTAATGATGCCAACTTTGATGATTACTTCCCTACGTATTTTACCATGTGGGTACCGTTTACCATTGTCTTCAAAGTCCAAAGGAGGCTCCATGCAACTTTGGCATGACAATTATGGATGACCACTCCTCTTCAGCCATCCAATCAGATTAAACTAGAGTTCAGACCCACTGAAGGAGACAGCCTGGTTTCTAGTCCATAACAAAAAAGGCCGGAATGGTACCAGGTCCCTCAAACCAGCCTGGAAATACCTGCCCGTATCCTAAACTACCTGACAGTATACAGTACTATTAAGAGCTAAAATATTTCGAGTTGATGTTTTTCCCCCACTAAAGTTGGAAAGCTTGCTCTCCCTCTCTCTCTTTCTGTCTTTCACTCTGCTGCTGTCAGTTTGCTGCCTGCACTTTAGCTGTCTCTTTCCCAGTCCCTACCCTGTCAGTTTCTGGCCTGCCAATTTCAACTTGAAGCTTGACTGGGCTGATTTGATGCAAATACCTCCAGGGAAAACCCTGAAACTGATGAACAGTTATGTCAAGTCGATTTTGCACCATCGGGAAAAGGTAACCTCTGCGAGAAAAAAAAACAACAAGGTTAAAGAGACAAGGGCTTTTCACGTGTAATACCACTGCTGCACATCTCGTTCACTGTTTACCATCCCTCAGAAATTGTAACTGTCAGAATTAGTCCTAATTGCAGATGCGAAAGCTGCCATTATAATAAAAACAGAGGCAGTGCAGGCATTAAATGTAGCAGCCTAATTTGTGAGACTACTGAAAAGGTAGAGTAAATGAATATTTCATTACTTTAATTACCAGGGACTACTCTTTTCTTGCTGTCTTATGATAAGTGTTGCTGTAACTAGCAACAGCAAACATCCACTAAAACATAAAGTGCAATAATAGTACTGCTGTCAGGATCACTGCTTTAAAATACGAGGGGGGGGAGGAGATATAATGGGTTATCTATTTCTTGGAGATTCGCAGGAGTAGGAGATGGAAACTCATTTAACGTCAAAAAACAAAGAGGCGAGTAAACAGGTTTTAGTC